GGACCTGAAGCTTTGGCCTCTCACTCCAATTGCTGTTTCTTTAATAAAATCATCAGCCCAATGTGAGGATGAAAGCCTCTCTCAGGTGAGATGCTGATGCAATGTCCTTCTCAAAGAGAACAGTCACTACCCAGTCAGCTCTCACAATCCCCACCTCCCCGGGTGTCTCAGTTCTTTTTCTGCTGACTATGGTCATATACCTTGACCAGAGCAACTCAAGAGAGGAAGGATTTCAGCTCATAGTTCATGGGTGTGGTCCACCATGGTGGGGAAGCCACAGCCACAGGGACTTGAATCAGATGGAAACTTTGCATCCAGGAAAAAGTGTTGAATGCCTCTGTGACTCAGCTTGCTTTTATACATTTCAGGATCTGAGCCCAGGGGATGGTGCTACTGCCCACAGTGTGTGTGTGTGTGTGTGTGTGTGTGTGTGTGTGTGTGTGTGTGTGTGTGATTCTGACTCCAGATAATCCCTACAAGCCCACACTTGTGGTCCGAGCACTGGAGAGGAGGAAGCAGGAGGCTCACTGGGGCATGCTGACTCTGAGTCAACGGATTAAAAATCAAGGTGGATGGTGCCTGAAGAACAACACCAAGGTTGACCAGTGGCTTCCATAAGTGCACACACAGGTGCATATGTATGATGGGGGAATGTCCTTCTGTACATATGTTTCTCTTATTGGCTGATGATTGGCCAGTAGAGGCAGGAAGATAGGTGGGGCTAGGAGACAAGGTGAATGCTGGGGACAGAGGGGAGAGAGGTTGCAGAAAGAGATGACATATAGCAGTAAGGAGTAACAGGTCTGGACCCTTCTCTGGTAGTGTAAAACCACGTGGAAATACTTAGACTAACAGAAATAGGTTAATAGTTAAGACAGAGCTAGCCAGTAAGAAGCCCTAGCTATCGACCAACAGTTTTACAATTAATATAGTGTCCGTATGTTTATTTGGGGCAAAGCGGCTATGGGACCAGGTAGTACAGAAACCTCCAAATATGTGCACACACAAACACAGATACACACAAACCAATGTTGGCTACTAAGTTCCTCTTTGCAAAAACACTCTGCCTAGGTGTGTCCTGTGGACCATGCAGGCTGCCTTTGACATAATAGTTGAGCTGAACCAGAGATTTCAATGTGCATGTAATCATAGCTAGGTCAGTTTTCTGTTACTATAACAAATGACAGAGACAATGTATAAAGAGGTTTATTTGAATTTCATTTGGGGCAGTTTCAGCCCATGATTGGTAGACCCTGTTGTTTTGAGCCGGTGGGGGTATGTCATAGTGGGAATACCTTGAGAGGGGGCCCCTCCCTCCATGCTTGGGAAGTGGGAAGGGAAAAAAGAAGGGACCACATTTTCATTCCCTCCTTCTCCTTCGAGGGCCTGCTTCCAAAAGCCCCACCTGGTGTGTGTGAGTGTGTGTGTGTGAGTGTGTGTGTGTGTGTGTGTGTGAGTGTGTGTGTGTGTGTGTGTGTGTGTGTGTGTGCACGCGCGCGTGTGTGTTTTCAATTTATTCTCTGAGAATTCTGATATACAATGCATTTTTATCAAATTCATCTCCCCCTCCCTCTCCAACTCCTCCCAGACCCCCATACTCCAACTTCCATGTCCTTTTCCTCTTCATAGCTGACTGAGTCCTGTGAGAACTGCCCATATGAGTGTCTTAGTCTCTGTTCTATTGCTGGGAAGAGACACTGTGACCACAGCAACTCTTATAAAAGGAAGCATTTAACTGAGGGCTGACTTGTTTCAGAGGGTTAGTCCATGACCATTATGCCAGGAGCAGATGGTACTGGAGCAGTAGGTGAGAGCTATGTACTGATCCACAAGCAGAGGGAAAAAAGACACTGGGACTGTTGTGGGCTTTTGAACCCTCCAAGCCCACCCTAGTGACACACTGCACCCCTAATCCTTCCCAAACACTTCCATTAACTGGGCAACAACCATTCAGACATATGAGCCTCTCGGGGGCATTCTCATTCAAACACCACAATCAGCATGGGTGAGCCATCCACTGGAGCATTGTGGGCTACTAAGAGACTCACCCTTGAAGAAAGAGGTGTCTCTCCCCCAACAGCCATCAACTAACTGTCCATAACTCTTCAGTCAGGGTTGTGGTCATGACCGGCCCCCATGCTGCAAGGCTGACTGGTCTGATCCGGTGCAGCAGCCACAGCTGCTGTGTCCCTGGGTGCTGGGGTCCTGTCCTGTCCAGAGGACACTGGTTTGCTCTGGTTCTGCCTGACCTCGGGCTCTCACTGTCTTTCTACTCCCTCTTCCATGATGGTCCATAGCCTTGGGGAGGGATGTGACATAGATTCCTCATTGTGACTGAATATTCCTCAGTCCTTATTCTCTGTACCCACTGTGGCTTTCAGAATTAGCTATTGTCCACTGCACCGAGAAGCTTCTCTGATGAGGTCTGAGAGCTAGCTGTATGGATCTACACACATCGAGAAATTATTTTAGAGGGCAGTTTCTAACTATGTTCCTTTAGCAAAATAATAGTGGTAGGTTCACCCTTGGGGCCTGTGAGCACCCAAAACATGGGTTCTTGGGCAGTTTACAGTACCAGGAGTGAGTTTTCTCCTGGGGAGTGGGCCTTAAACCCAACCAGTTATGCCCATAACCTTTGTGCCACTATTGCTCCAATGGGCACATCTTGACAAGCCCTTTATTATTGCAGTTCACAGAGTTCAAGCTGGGCAAGAAAATTTGGTAGGGTCTTAGCAAGTTCTGGTGGGCAAAAAAGAGCAATGGCAATAGCTTGTAATGTTTTGGAGGTCTCTGGGAGACCTCTGACCAGCAATTTGGAGGGAGGTACCTCACACCTGGCACCAAAGCACCACCTTTGGGGAGACACATACACAGCACAGTGACAATTACCCTTACATAAAAGAGTAGCTACTAAAGACAAAAGAACTCACTGCAACCTGAGCTATTTAGATGGGGAAACTGAGGCCCAGAGATGCCAAGGCTGGATCTCAAAGTCACTAATCTGAGAAGTGGCAGAGCAGAGATTTGAACACAGAACATCAACTCCTGAGCATATGAACCATCTGATTTCTCTGTAATGACACCTCCCATTTGAACACAGTGGTGTCTTGTCCGTTGGCCATCTTAAGGCATCGATACACCATCATTATTTCAGGGGTCTTGGTAAAAGGCGAGGGAAAGAAGGGTAGGTGACTGCCCAGGGGGCAGCCCCAGGAAGCGGGGTGGTGGAGCCCTGGAGGTGGAGGAAACACAGAAGTAGGTCAGTGACTGTGCCAGAGACTTCCTCTGGGTCTTATCTGAAGTCACCAATACCTCCTGGGGTGTCTCTTGTCCCTCTCCTTGTCCCCCTCCTCATCCCTTCACCTTCTCTGCTAGCATCTTCCCAGCTCTCTTCCTCACCCACAACCTCTCCCTCTAGTCTCCTCAAGGCTGAGGGAAATTTTGAGAATGATTTTTTTTTTCTTTTTCTTAAGACGGAAACTGCCGGCTGCTGGCAGCGTTTTATAAATACACTGTCCCCACACCTTGGTCTCATCAAAGCCACGGAAACAGGCCGTGATGAGCATAAAGGAAACTCCAATGGGGGGTGGTAAGACCGGGTATTGGGGGTGTTTCCACCTCCCCCCATGGCAGGGTTGCAAGGGCAGGAGGCTGAAAATCAGCTTGGACTGGCTGTGATTCCTGGACAGAGGGAGGCTGCCCTGTCCCTCTCAGGCGTGGCCTCTGC